TTTGCAAATGCCCAAAGGATATTTAAGCTAATTCACCAGGCAAGCATGATCACCATGACCTCATGTAAAATGAGCTCTGTCAATTTCTCTCCCATAACACTTGGGTAAAGAACAAACTGACCTGATTCCAGCTTTTATTGTACTTTCTTTTGCAAAGTATTGCCATCAATATTAGCAGAAAATATTGGTGGAATGATTGCTACCTTGCAGCTTCTTCTCACATTATTCTTGGCAACTGCTATGCTCTATTTTTGTTTTCTGAGTTTTACTCATCATTTCACGTCTTGCTTATTTATTTGGTAACAACAACAATTGCTCTATCACTTACCGAGCACTTGCTGTGTGCCAGACACTTGCTATATGGCAGGCATTAGGTTAAGCACGACACATGACTAGACTCATTTAATCATTATCACCCCGTATGATGAGAACTACCACCATCTCCATTTTACAGATGAGGAAACTGAGCTTTGGCTAAAGAAACACTGAACATTGGCTAAATGAACACACTTGGCAAGTGGTCAAGCTTGCCTCCAAAGTCTCAATTCTGACCTTTCTGGCATATTGCTTCTTTTCTTGTCCTCCCCAAAGATATATCTTTCCACTGCATGCACTGCATTTCTCTGCTCAGCTAGTCATCTGGTCCTGCCATGTGCATCACTTTTCAGCACGGCGTGTTTTTTGTGCATAGCACAGTAATTAGGCATATGGACTCTGAAGTCACACTGCCTGAGATGGAATCCTAACATGCCACTATTTCCCAGCTTTTTGTCTCAGCAATTTACTTAACTTTTCTGGATTGCCCCATCTATAAAATAGGGATTATAATTTTATCTGAGGCATTGAATTATTGGAATAACTAAAGGGGTTAACAATTATCTTTATAAATCACTGAGTATAGTTCCTGCCACATAGGAGGTACTTGGTAAATATTGTTTGTTGTTAAAATTCTCAATGAATGTAACTTGCTTTCCATTAAGAGTCTAAGCTGATTAAGAGGAAAGATTTTTCTGCCTTTGCAATTCCTCAGTACTTAGCAAGTCACTCCAGAGTAGCTCATTCCACTAGGCTGTAGTTTTAAAGATTTCACATTGGTGATTATCATTCAGGGAATAGGGAAGATTCCAATTATTTTAACCATCATGACCAGAGTCACCCTGTGTGATCTGAAATGCTGAGCTGGTAAGTAACTTATGAATCACAGTGTGCCCTTAGCTAATATGTATATTTAACTCAACCATCCTTCTTAGAGCACATACTCTGTGCAGAAACTTGCAGGTCCTGGGGAAACCGACATAAATCCTGAACAGGCCCTGTAGTCCTCTCTCTCAAGAAGACAAACACTGCACTGATGAGATATACTAACTTGAACTATATCCAGAAATGTCAGTGGGGAAAAGGCTGTAGGGAAACATGTTATAATTTTAAAACAGCCATGACTTATTGTCTATTTATATTTAGTTCAACCCAGAAAGTGGCAGCTCATGCAAAGGATAATTAGTATTTCTTTTTTGCTCTCTTTCTTGGGATTGGGATACAACATGACAAAGTGACCTTGAGTAAAAAGTATGATCTGATAGTCATCTGGCATTAGAAGAGCACATCCTGTTTACCTAGAACATTTAATCTGACTTTGTAAAATCTACAAGTCCCAGGAAGCCAACGTATCTATAGTGAAGTCAGTGGGGTTGTTCCAATTTAAACTGGAAAATCAGTGCCATTGTTGGAGGTGTCGGAAATCTCCCCTTCATTCTCACATGCAAATGTGTCTGTTCCTCTGATAAACAGCAGCAGCCAGAATTCTAATGATCTGCACTATTGCTGGTACCTTTGGCCCTAATTTCTTGGCTTCATAAACAGGCATTGCTTCTGCTTCTCAATTTTGCCACTGTATCTCACATAGCCAAGATTCTGTGATTCTCAACCCCAGCTGCATTACAGCATCACGTTGGAGATTAAAATCAACAAACAAACAAAGAAACCAACCATGTCCTGGCCCTATCCTCAGAGATTCTGATTCAGTTATTCTGGCAAAGTGTCTGGACATTGTTTTCTTTTTGTTAAGTTCCTAGGGTGACGCCGATGGACAGCAGGTGATAGAACCTACTAATATCTGGACAAGGCAATAGTTTAGTTCACCTTTAGATTTACAGCAAAATATCTACCAGTAGCTACAAAGCTGACAGAATCCAGACAATCACATTAATTCTCTATTCCATATCATTTTTATCCTCACAGTACCGACAAAAAAATGGGGCTTAGCTGGGCACGGTGGGAGGCTGTAATCCTGTAATCCTGTAATCCCAGCACTCTGGGAGGCTGAGGCAGGTGAATCACCTGAGGTTGGGAGTTTGAGACCAGCCAGATCAACATAGAGAAACCCCATCTCTACTAAAAAATACAAAATTAGCCAGGCATGGCGGCATATGCCTGTAATCTCAACTACTCGAGAGGCTGAGGCAGGAGAATCACTTGAACCCAGGAGGCAGAGGTTGAAACGAGCAGAGATCGTGCCATTGCACTCCAGCCTGGGCAGTAAGAGCAAAACTCCATCTCAAAAAAAAGAAAAAAGGAAAAAGAAAAAAAAATGGGGCTGCAAAGACAGCAATCTGGGCTTCTTCTCATCTCAGTCCCTCAAAAAGATTCATTGTGCCATGTAAGGCAAATATATTAACCTGTGAACCTCTTGCTTTTGTATTCCATTAGATGAGAATAAGTTACCTGCTTTACGGTGACATGGTGAAAGAAGAGGCATAAAAGTCTTTTGATAATAAAAGAGTTGCTTATAAATACAAGAGATTGAATGCATAATATTTAGAGGAGACAGATTATTCTCATTAAGCAGACGAGGTGGGAACCCATGTGGTATATTTTTAGTTGCTCCAAAATGTCCCCAAGTGCCCCAAGCACAGTAAGTGAGGTAACTATATTGCAGTCATTGAAGCCGCACTCAGTGAGTGGGCAGTGCTCGTCTACAGGGCCTCGGTGGAAGTGTGTCATGTGGCTAACACTGTGCATTAGGGCAAAATGATTAATCAGAGTGGCCAGGGATGTGGAGAAGGGACAAAGGCAGGCAAATTTTACAGAATGTCCAAAATCAGCAAGGCCTAATGGCCCTATAGTTTGGGGTGGAGAAACCTTGGAAAGAACAAGAAAATATAAAATAGCTAATGAAAGTGTTTGTAATTATCTTTGGATTGGACATTGGCTATTTATACCTTCTTCCCAAAGCCTCTCTCCATAAGGTGTATCAACTTGTTCACAGTGATGTTTTCTTTATTTGCTTGTCTCCTAACAGTTGGTGGGGAGGGGAAGGCCACCTTTCTACTGAAGACTAAAAGAGAAGGAAAATGAACCCATTTGTTAAATGCATTTATTATCCACTGAATAAAAGGACAATCTCGCCTACCCTCACTCTATCTTCTCTGGGTCAATCACTTTAACTGTCAATCTGGCTATTATCCATCTAGTTAATTTTCTGTTATTTTATTTTCTCTTCTTTCATTTCTATAATAAGAAAGCCTTCAAGGGGAAAGCCCAAATTGCTAATTGGCAAATCTAGAATTTAATCCTTAGGAGATTATTAATATTATTAATTGTGAAAGCCAAAACCAACACAAAATAATAAGGTAAAAATAAGTAAAATTCTTTTAGACTTTTCTAAGAGTTAAAAGAGCTATTTATGTTTCCCATGTATCCTTTTATTCTTTCACTGAATGGAAGGATTTTAGGATCATCACATGAACTTGACAATGTGAGAATTTATCGTAGTCCTGTGCCCCAGTTTATCCTAAGAACTCAGAAGAACAGAAAATAAAGCCTTTAACTGGTAACACAAAAAAAAATTGATAGAATAATCTTCGAGCAGGGAGAAAGAGAGTGTATATTGGGGGTGCAGAGCTTGAAAAATAGTTAAGAGAAGGCCGCCTGCAGTGGCTCACACCTGTAATTCCAGCATTTTGGGAGGCTGAGGCTGGTGGATCACCTGAGGTCAGGAGTTCAATACCAACCTGGCTAACATGGTAAGACTCCAACTCTACTAAAAATACAAAAATTAGCAGGGCGTGGTGGTGGGTGCCTGTAGTCCCAGCTACTCAGGATACTGAGGCAGGAGAATTGCTTGAATTCAGGAGGTGAATTTTGCAGTGAACCAATATCGTGCCACTGCACTCCAGCCTCGGTGACAGAGCAAGACTCTGCCTCAAAACACACACGTACACACACACACACACACACACACACACAATCTGTTTAGAGATATTCTTTTACAACAAGAATATATTAAAGTATTATTTGTGTGTTTCAAAACTAAACTGCATTGAAAAACAACTACATTAGCCCTTTATGAAAGGAAGAAAAAAGCTATAGTGAAATGGGATGGCCTGGCTTTCTGAAGTATGAGAAAATGTGGTTTAAGCAAGCCACACATCACAGGGTTCCTCCTTTCAAAACAAGTCTGTCTGGCCATGAAGCCCCAGCACTTTTACTGACCTCCTTCCTAACGCTGACTACAAACTCCTTTCCTCTCAGTCCTGGGTGTGAGGCTGCAGCCTACATTTTACATTTCTAAGGTCACCCCTTGCCCTTTGGAAGGACTCTCCCAGAGCTGAGTGAATATCCAGGGCTCCTCTTGGCAAGAGCAGCAGCTCAGTAGCTCATGAATGCACTGGTTTTCATAGTATTTCCTTGTTTAAGGATGAGAAAACTTGTTTGGAAAAAAAAAAAAGTCTGTTATAAAAAAAGTCCTAAAGGATCCCAGCTAGGTGCTTGATACTCAATTTCCTTTAACATAGTCTCGTCAAATAGACCAACAGTCTGCACAATGCTCTTGACTGGACATACTTTATCTTCCTAACGTACATGTCACAGATATGCAAAAGAAAAGCAGGGAAAGAGGACCTTAAGTGGACGATGCCTTAAGTAACATCGGAGCCCCTGAGATCTTGCTACAAAGGGAGGCAGAGACAGAACAACAGACCGTAGTAGGAGAAATGTCTTACCTGTCCAGCACTGTGGTCCCCCTGCTGGCTCCCACTCTGATCAGATGCCTAAAATTTTCCCAGTTTCCACTACAGGGCCATTTGTCCCGCAGCCTCCTGGGCAGGGGGCCTCACGCCCAGCGGAGGAAGAACCAAGCAAGACTCATTTCGAGTTTTTAGGCAGGACTGGCAGTTCCGCTCCCACACTCAGCCTCACTGGGGCCTCCCCCAGCTGTGATCCTCCCCCAGCTGTGATCCTCCGAGCCTCACAGAGTCATCCCTGAGAGCCGCACTGCTATTTTAAAAACAAAAAGTGACTTCCTGGTCCTCTTCCCCGGATGGCGTGTGCAATTTCCCTCACGCCCATGGGAAGTCCTTCAGATCCTTCTTATCTGGAAACCTCTCCACCAAGTGGACAGACTTGTTTGGCCAATGCCCCTAGTTCTCACTTTCCTTTCTCCAAAGAGAAAAATATCAGAAAAGCAAAACCAGAGCCAACCAAACATGGGTGAGAGCTAATGGGAAGTGCAAGATGCCTGGTTTCAACTTTTAAAAGATGACCACCAAATTAGATTGTAATTTCAGAGTAGAAGGAAAATTAAGACTCTCGATGAATTCTTTGTCTTTAGCAGTGCCAAGAAAGCAGAGAATAAAAGAATCCTTAGAAGAGGAGAGACCTATAGAAGTTGCTTAGTCCTCCCCCATGGGAGGGCTGTACCTCAAAAATGCCACATTGGAGGCATGTCCAGTTCTCTTAGGTTTCCAGGGAAACTCTGTGAGTGTTTGTGTATCAAACCATCAATTTAGTGGTACTTAAAATACCACTCGATAACACGGATATTTAAAGATAAGGAGATATATGGCAAAGGCCTGGTTGGCAAGCTGCGTTCAGGTTGTCAGGTTTAAAGATGAATTACAGTCAGCTAATTTTTGAACTGGAAGTGACCCCACTGATCCTCATTTTACAAGTGAGAAAACTAAGACCCAAGGAGAAACCTTCCCAAGATCAGAATACAGATGGGGAATGCTGTTCCACTGCCTACTCTGGAGCTCTGCCCACAGAAAGTGTAATGAATGAGGCCTGGCCTGGAATCTGCTTTGGAAATGAGTGCTTCAGGTGAGAGTATACTCAGAATTCTCTCAGTATCTTCAGAGAAATCCTCATAGTATCAAAGAAAGGACTCGAGTCAGGCTATAGGAACTGACGCTTTAGACCCACCAATTTTATGTGGGCACGTACACATTACTTGACGCTATTGAGGTTCTATTTTGTTTTGTTTTGTTTTGTTTTGAGATGGAGTCTTGCTCTGTGGTCAGCCTGGAGTGCAGTTGCATGATCCTGGCTCACTGCAACCTCTACCTCCTGGGTTCAAGCAATTCTCCTCCTTCAGCCTCCCAAGTAGCTGGGACTATAGGTGCCCGCCAGCACATCTGACTAGCTTTTTGTGTTTTTAGTAGAAACGGGGTTTTGCCATGTTGGTCAAGCTGGTTTCAAATTCCTGACCTCAGGTGATCCCCTGCCTCAGCCTCCCAAAGTGCTGGTATTACAGGGTAAGCCACTATTCCTGGCCCTGAGATTCTGTTTTATTATGTGTGAAAGTGGGATATTAACAGTGCTGAGTTTATAGACTCTGCTGAAACTCGAGAGGAAGAGTTTAGCAACTGTTCATTGTTCTCTGGAGCACTGGGCTCCAGTGCCTCCAAGCTCGTCCTCTCTCCCCCTCCAGCTGCTGTCCCTTCTTGTCGTGCTGTCAGCCTGGGGCAAGTCAGCAACCACCAGCAGGACTTAGGCTTGAGATCAGAGTATTTGGGCAAAAAGAGGATGAACTTCAAAATGTTATTATTTCACTTCTAGGTACTGATTCTCAACTCTAGTCTGGTTTCAGAATTGGTTTTGAATTGGTACACCCAGACTTAAGAAACAGCCTGCTGAGGGACGCAGCTCCTGGCAAATGCGGCCTTTTTTCCTGCTTGCATTTTGGTTGTTGGGTGCAGCAGGCTCTCTAACATGGAATGGGCGTTGTCAAAGTGGCTGTCCCTTTCCTTCCCTGAGGAGCAATTCTTCTCGCCCACAGTTCCCCGCTTGTTGTTAGGAACAGTCTGTGCTTGCTGCACACACATTACAATGAAAACAAAAGCAAATAAAAAAATGGAACCACCATATGGCTTTGGCAGCAACCCAGAATGAACTGTGGATGGAGAGACCCTGCCCTGAAATTGACTGTCACAGGGGCCGTTTTCCTGAATTCTAAAACATTGATGTTGCTGGCTGAACTCAAACCTCTTCAACCAAACTGCAAATGTAGCCAGAGTAACGAATTCATCAGTCATGTTATCTGTTTGTTAATATGAAGGTCTCTCATGGCTGTAGGGTACAGTCAGAGACAAAGCTCCTACTTTCTCAGGAAGAAATTTCAGCACCAAATAAATATGTATTTTCCAGCATGTTCCAAGCTGTTTCACTGCTCTTTCTTCTTTCTTCACACAGGTAACGTTTAGTCGCTTTTTAAGTTCCAGCTGTTATTTCTTCCAAGGACTCTCTTATTTCTCCCAACCTGAACCAAGTATTTCTCTTCCCTGATCCCACACTGCCAGATACATGTCTTTTTAAAGTTACCACATTGTATTCAAACAATCCATTTAATGCATTGCCTGTAAGCAACTTGAGGGCAGGCACTAGTCTGATTTGTGTTATGCCCATTCCTATTTCAGTGCTGGTATATAGTGGCTTATCAATAAAAGCAAGCAAAATTAAACTTTCCATCTCATTTTCCATTGCTGGTTCCTCCTTTTAACATAAGAGTGTCTCATAGCTCAGTCTTTGAAACCCTTGTCTATTGACAATTATTTCCCAGGTAATCTCTACTAGTTTTGCTGACGACTTCCAAATGTCTATCTCTATCACAGACCTCTCACCTGAATTCCTGACCCATATATCCAACTGCCTACTTGATAACTCCACGCAGTTGTTCAATAGGCCCTCAAACAGAACATGTCCCAAACCAAACTCCTGATCTTCCCTCCCAAACTAGCTATACCATCAGTCTCTTCCATTTTAGCAAAGGGCATTTCCATCCTTCCGGTTACCCAACCAAAACCCTAAGAGTCATCCTTGAGTCTTCCCTTGCACACTTTACATTTAATTTGTCATCACATCTCAAAATACTTGTATAATCTGGCACTTCTTACCTCTTCTGCTGCTATCATTCTCATCCAAGACATCACTATACCTTGACTGGATAATTACCAGTCTCCAACCTGTCTCTGTGCATCTCCTCTTACCCCTTTATAGTCTGTTCTGAAGACTGTAGCTAGAATGGTCCTTATAAAATACAAGTCATATAAAATCCATCTGTGCTCAACTCATCGCCTGCAGTCAGAGCACAAGTCCTTTCCACAGCAGGTGAGCCCCACATGATCTGCACCACCTTCTCTCCCATCACTCATGTTGCTCCAGGCACACTGGCCTCCTTGTGGACCAGGCAGACTTGCATTTCAGGGTCTTCATATTTGTTCTCTCTGCCTCCCGGGGATGCTCTTTACACAGATTTCCTCAAGACTCACTCCATCACCTCATTCTCACTTTTGCTCAAACACTGCTTTCTTAGTGAGGCCTTCGTTGACAGCCATATCTTACATTTCTTCTCTCCACATCCTCTCTACTTGCTCTAGTTGTCCGTATCATATGACATCTCTGGTACATTATAATGCACTTTTGAAGTTTGCTGAATGTCTCCACCTTCCATCCCCACACTAGAAGTTAAGCTCCCAAGTCCGGTGCAGTGGCTCATGCCTGTAATCCCAGCATTTTGGCAGGCTGAGGTGGGTGGATCACCTGAGGTCAGGAGTTCAAAACCAGCCTGGCCAACATGGTGAAACCCCTTCTCTATGCTAAAATTAGCAGGGCATGGTGGAAGATGCCTGTAATCCCAGCTACTTGGGAGGCTGAGGCAGGAGAATCAGTTGAACCTGGGAGGCAGAGGTTTCAGTGGGCCAAGATCATGCCATTGCACTCCAACCTGAGCTATAAGAGCAAAACTGTCTCCAAAAAAAAAAAGAAGAAGAAGAAGAAGAAGGTAAGCTTCCCAAGGGAAAGGAAGAGATGCCTGTTTAACAGATTCATTGCAAAGGAGTATCTGAAAGTGTAATGCACAAGCAAAGTTATTAATGCCACAGCCCCGGACAGCATAGCTAAAGTATGTAATAGTTCAACTTGTGAAATTCTCCTACCTCCACATCTTGGCAGGGTAGGCTCTGCTTTTTTAATATTCTTTTATTTTTTTAATCCATAACCAGATGTTGGTAACCCTTTTGACCTCAGGTCAGCTGTCTTTTGGTATTTCTATATTGAGGTCAGGAAAATTCTCCTTTGGCCCTGACCTGTCCTTATGCAAGGAAGGAACCGGCAAATAATTGGGCAGTTTTATAGTATACAAATGGTCTTATTCTTATCTCACTTGTGTATATTTTGGCAGAGCCTCCGCTAATGGAATTGGTCATATTTGTGCTTAGCTGCAGCCACTCAGATTTTATTTTCACTTACTGCTACTGCACCCATTCTACCAATAGACCGTGTTATTACACCTTCTTTGTGGATGCGTCTCGCAGACATTGATGTTATTTTACTGTGGAAGATTGCAAAGCTCCCATCTTTTGAGCCAACTGGACACAACTGACAGCTCCCTTCCAGCACTTCTTATGCCTGCAGTAATGGCCCCAGCTTCTGCCAGAAATCCAAATCACCATCCAAGTGGAACCTTTTTCTGAACTCTACTGCTAGAACTACCCTCTCTGCCTTTTCCTTGAAGAGGAAGAGATAGCATCTTGGGGCGGGGGGCAGATTTGAGGTATGGCTCATTGAGGTGTCATCCACACTTCTCTCTTGACCCTTATTAATCTGTTCTTGGGGAATACTGACTGCCAATGGCCTGTGAGTCAACCACAGCCTTCACATTCCACTTTCAGTTCTTAGAGCTGACGTGCCGTTTATGTAGCAGGAGGTCATTTCTGATGCCCATGGCATGACCTATGTCAACTCAGATGTGATGTACATATCAGAGTCATTGACTAAAGTTGTCACTGACTCTTCTTCCTTCAGTCCTTTCCAATCTAGTCCCATGGAGAAGAGCAGTTGTCTGAGGACATGGCTTTCCTTCTTGTCTTGGCCTAGGAGGAAATGTATTTAGAAGGAAGCTACACTTTTTCTCTCAGTGTACACATGTCCTTTTGTCCATGCACACTGGGAAACCGCTCCTATTTTAACCTCTGCTTCTTTACCATGCATCCTGGGTTCAGGCACTCTGCACTGGTGGATACCATGTACTACAGTAACAGCGAGGCTGATCTGCAAACATCAGGCAGAGTCCTGGTTTGGGACTGCAAAACCCTGTCTTCACAACACCACCTCCCAT